TAATATATGTTCAATAGTTTGATCAGAACTATCCTGAGGAATGTATTAAAGCTTCAGTGTACAGATTACGCTTTCTAGCTGTGAAGCACATAGTACACAAAGGTTATTCTAGAAGAGGCTGTATGTAAAAGGAAAAACAAATATATATATATATATATATATATATATATATATATATCAAGAAAGAGGAGGAAATTCAACAGCAGACATTCTAGGACATGTAGAATGTACTGCTTTTATTTTAAAAGTGAAGAGAGCCTCCCAGTCAGTTGCCTTGCAGACCAAAGTGAAATATAAGGATTCTTGGGAGTGGTTGATAAAGGGAGACTAACAAAGGCATTGTGTAACACCAGCCCTTGGGATATACAGGCAGAGGATTAGGAGTTTAAGGCCATCACTAGCTAATTAAGTTCTTGGCCAGTCTGAGACCTGACCACTGAAAAAGCAAAACTTACTAACTAAACAAACAAAAGCAAGAGCAGAAGGAAGTCCACGACACAGTAAGAATGACTTAAATTAGATACAGAAGATGACAGATGACAGCAGAACCGAAGATTTGATAAAAGTACAGATATGGTGGGAACAACAACAACAACAAAAATCAAGTGGGCAAGGGAAACTGTTTTGACAATCTTTGGTAATGACTGGACATGTCATAGTAAAAAACAGTGTTTGAGAACTTAGACAAATTGTATATCTCTTTTGTTGTGAGGATGGGAAATAGTCTTCTGACATTATACATACTGCTATATAGTCTAAAAGTCAGGCTCTTGGTTTTGATCTATCTTACCTTTTCTTGGATTGTCATATAATTGAGCTACATAAATAACATCAGCTCAAGCCAAATCATTTCATTTGACTAAACCTAATTTTCATAATGTAGCAATAACCCTGATATTTTTTTCAGGTTGAGTAAAGATGTATCATCCCATTAAATTAATTATTAGCAAAGGAATAATGAGAGTGTGGTATTGTTTAAATAGCAGATATGTGGATGCCAAGTAATTATGTTGACTGAAAATGAACAGTTTCATCAGGCAGACGCCCAATCCCCCTCCAAACAGTGTCAACATTGAATGTTTTCTAATACACTGGAAAATTACTAGGTAGATTTGAAATAACAAAGCAATAACTGCAGGCTTTGTTTAAGATTCCTCTAGAGAATAGGACAAATAAAATGATTACAGTGATTTGAGCAGTCAGGATTATATAGCTGTTCACTTACAAAAGCAATCTTCTAATTACTTGACAATTGATGGCTTCTGATATTTCCTGAAATGGTTTCTGTGTTGCCCATATTGATCTGCATTTCTACCAAGCAGCTTACCAAAAAGAAGGTTGTTCTCATTAGAGAGAACATGGATAGATTATAGTCACAAACACACAGTTACACACACACACACACACACACACACATATATGCATATACACATACACAATTTATTGTCTGCATAGATTACCTGTATATAGTTTTGTGTAAGTTTGTGTTGTTTATGATATCAACAGTATAGTAATTAGTCAATTGGAATTAGTCAATTTGGAAATTTTAATTTGCTCCACTTTCAGCTGCTTTGGCAAGGGTTCTAAAATTAGTGCTTTCATTTTTTTTTCTTTCTGTAATTTGGCACAGATAATAAATAAGTTGACTGAATTCTCAGACTTGAGCCTTTGAGAAGCCTGATCTGGCTTGTGATTTTTAACGTCAGATAGGAGGGAGAATTACTCACAGATACCCATTCATAGACTAAGGTAAATTACTGAAGAAGATGCTCTGCCCACAGAGATATCAGATAGCTGCTCTCTCTGTAACAGAAAATTGACTACTCTTCTTAAGCAATAACAATACATCAGTTTTGTTTACCAACCACAATTAAGTCATGGTTTGATGTCATCTGTAAGCACCTTTCAATCATGTTCACAATATGGCTCCCTAATTCCACACATCTACTGCAAATAAACTTGGGACAATGAGAAGGAAAAGGGATGATATCAATCATGACCATGTTCTCCTGTTAACTAAAATATAATTACTTTGTCAGTGATCCAGCTGATTCCTCTTCATACCTCACTGGCCAAGAATGTATCACATGAACACCTTCACCTGCAAGGAAGTGGTGAGGAGCTATGTCATTTTCATAGTCTCTAGTGAGGACAGTCAAAGAACAAAGATTATGAATGGGCATCAATTAGCCACCTATCCCTGAATGATTGGTGAACTATGAAGCAGAGTCTCCCATCACTTCATTCTGTGTGTCATTCATTTACCCATATTTACCTTATGATTCCATTGGCAGGCAGGTAGGAATTTATTCAAGAATGACATATGTCGAGGATTTCAACAAAGCCTTGAAATAGGCACAAGCATTTCCACAAGACAGAAGGGGAAAAGAAGGTAGAGGACATGACCAGGTGCAGAATTCATTCTCACTGCTGTTTTGTTTTTGTTTGCTTTCATTTGTATGTTTTGATCATTTCTAGCATTTACTTACAGAACCTGGCTGTATCCCTGGACTTCTTCTAAAGCCTATTTTTGGATGGTAGTATTCCTAACAAATTCTCAAGTGTCTATGTAAATTAGCACTATTATGTAAAATAGGTGTAAGTAATGAACATGCTATATGAATGAACTTCAATTTGAATTCATTTTATTTACATGCTCACATCAGATTGAACATCCAACTTCTGGTATATCATTGAGCTTTATTGTTATTCTTATTTTTATATACCATCATATAGTTTATTCATGAGAATACCCCTTTTACATCTTTTATTAGTAAGATAATTATGCATAAGACAGATTTCTCACATTAATCACAACTAACCATTCCAGAAAAAAGAAGCCAAAATAAAGTGATAAAATACATTGAGTGCTATTTTTCTACATGGGAAAAATTACAGTAATACTCATTTCTTATCTTAAATGCTTTGTAGAAATGGTAAAATTCAGTATTTTATTAAGGCGTACCACTTATGCTGGCTCAGGATCCTTAGAAAATATTTTTAGAGAATAAACAATGGTTTCATTAGTACCATGGTGGCCCATCATATTTTTTGCCTGAGACTCATTTGACTTTCAAGGTTTATGCTATTTATTTTAAGCATGTTGTCTGGAATAAATGGGTAAAACACCTGTGTAGGTTTGAGAAGTTTGACTGTTAGGTCAACATATCCTGTGAAACAAGGCACACATATCATTGCCAAAGTGAAACATCTCATCATTATCACAAAACTAACGAAATGCATTACTGGAGAACTTACAGTTAGCATCTACAAGAGGATCCCATGTAGGATGTGCCCTATTTTGTCCAATGAGCAACCACCCAGCCAAACTCCCCCTATAACTTAAGCCATTTCTAAATTAAAAGGCACAAAAGCTTAAGTTTCATTGACTTCTTATTGACACGTCATTGCAGCTTCAGTTATAAAGAAAAAAAAAAGGAAAAGGTGGGAAGCTTGTCAGTCCTGTTTGTTACAAAGGAATCGACTTTTCTTTGCTCTCTGGCCTAGCTGTGTGTTTAGTTAAGTCACTACAAAAGATCCATATCGACATATTTATATTTTTCAGTGTATTCTTTAATATTTCTGTATCAAATTCGTTCTTCGACAATTTCATATGTGTATACATCTGTACATTCACACACACACACACACACACACACACACACACACACACACTCACACACACACACACTTTGCATTCAGGTACCCTCTCCCCCTAGCTCCTTTGTTCCTCCTAAGTCCTATCAACCTTAGTTCTTCCCTCCCAGTTTCTTGCCAAGATCAGGAATTTTAAACTTTCTTTTGTGACCATTTTGCTTAACCAGGGCTGCCAGTGTGAACACTGAACTGGAACTGACTTTGGAGCCTTGTGGGGTCAGCAGTGGGTGCTCTAATGAAGGGAACACCCCCCTCCCCAAATCTACTATAACAAACATTTCAGCAGTAAAATTTAGAGCTCTTTGAGCCTCTTATCTAGTCATTCAGGACTTTTGACAGACCCATTTTTGGGCAGACACACTGCTGGCAAACATCTGCTACAGCTGTCATGAGTTTGGAATTGCAACAGTTGTGTCGTGAGCAGAAAATGGCATTTTGCAGCCCTTCTTCCTACCTTCTGTCTGTTACAATCTACACTCCCCATTCTGCAATATTCTCTGAGCCATAGGAAATGCAATCAACATCTTGTCACTTATCTGTCAATTATTGTCCATACCTTGGGCAGTCCTAAGTCCCTGACTTTTCCACTATTCCCTAGAAGGAAAGGCTTATCTAATTAAGGCTGAGGGTAGCATTTGTCTATGGATAAAAACATTTAGAATGCTTTTTTTTAATTATCTTTGATCAAGTTTATAGTACCAGCATGTATTTCTTCTTGTGTATTGCACCTCAAATCCATTTAAAGGACAGTTGGTTACCCCCATACCAATACTATCACTATTGCACAAGCGATTATGCTTTTTCCCTCTCATAGTTTGTAAGGCTCACATCTGGGTGGGACTGTTAATGCCTTTTCTTCTCCAGACACTTTTGGGGCCTACGAAAATTATCTTGCAGGGAGACAGCCTCCAGAACAGTTCTGATTTGATTTCACTATAAAATGCAACTGGACTATGTGGTGTCATCAGCTATAGGTCTGATCTAGTTCTGATAGGCCACCAAATGCAATGTAAAGAAATGGTTTTGTTTTGAGGGCTTCTGTAACCATTCTGACTGACAATTCAAAGGTGGAATTTCACCTAGAATTGAGCTGTTTTGTTGATAACCTGTGGCTTGTAGGATGAGCTATTTATATCCAGAAGCTACTTTCCTTCAGACACACTTGAAAATAAATTTACACACACACACACACACACACACACACACACACACGTGTGTGTGTGTATATATATATATATATATACATACATATATATATATAATTTTATATTCTTTTGACACATTTATTTATTTTTATTACATTCATTAATGGATGAATATCTACAGAGTTTACGTTTCTTCCACATCTGATCTTACTTCCCCCATTTTTAAAAACAAGAACAATGGGATTCGGGTAAGTAGCATTAGCATGAATCATTATGAGTCCTGGTTGTAGATTTATAATGGTGCTTGGGAAGTCCTAAAGGTTAGCAAAGCTGTGAGAAATGCTCTGGAATTCCTGTGTTTGACATTTCTGGAAATATCCTGTCTTTTTGTTGTTGTTATATAACTTGGCATCTGTAAAAGGTTTGTTTGAAAAAAATCTTTATTTTTTGTTGTTATTAAAAATACTCTCTGAGGGAATACTAATATTTTTATAAAATGAAAATAAAAGGGAGGTCTGAGAAATGATATAGTGAGCAAGGCTCAGAGAAATGGCCTTTTATCTTCTGCTTTACTTTGAAATAATAGAAGGCAGCATCTGAAAGAGAAAATTCAATCCATCAAGTATTGACTGAGTCTTCCTAGTGCCAAACACTTCATATGTTCAGAGCATGAAACAATAAATAACTTGCTAGAACAAGGTCTGTGGGCGTGGGAGTGGGCAGATCTGCAGTGGGAAGAGCATTGCACTTTCAGAAAATTTGGTTTGCTTTCCCAACTCCACCCAAAGAAAAGATCAAGAGCCAAAGCCCATTTTAGTCTGCAAACAGTGACACAGTTCCTCATGAAAGGTCTAACCCATGCCAGGCATTGCATTAGGTCCCGGGGACAGGGGATCTGAAGATAAATAAAATCCTCCAACAGCCTTACTTGTAAGCCAGCTGAAATTTATCAAGGAATTGTTGAAGATTAGGTAAATGTGTGAATGCCTTTATGAGGATATTTTAAAAATGTATTTAGCAGTCCCTTTAGATTTATGATAAATTTATTTCCATCTTGAAAGTAAGGAATGAGGAGGATAGGAAGGAGGCCTCGGTGGTTTAGAATACTTGTTGCTCTGGCAGAGGACTGGGGTTTGATTTCTGGCAACAATATGGTTTCTTACAACCATTCATAATTCCATTTCCAGGGGATTTGACACATTATCTGACCTCTGTGGGTACTAGGTACTCAGGTGGTACATATACATACATATACATACAGGTGAAGAAATCATACATATAAAAAACAAGACTTGACAGTTTTCTTTTAAAGTACATAAGTCATCACGATGTGGTTATACAACATGCCCATGTTATGAGACAGAAAGTATAGTCTTAGAGCTCCTTTCTCAGCATTGTAGAACCTGTGTCTTGAACATTCTTCTCTCACTGCCTTTTCAGAATTGAGGGGATAAGATAAAAAAAAAAAAAACAAACATGTAGAATGGAAGTACATGTATAGAGATTTGGTGAATGTACTTGAGGGGCATTCTATGTAAATGTTAGTTATCTGCCTATTAAGGATAATAAAGAATGAGGAAGATTAATCACATTTGGAAATAAATATCTCCCAAAGTGTAAAGATATAACCAGAGCAAAGTGCAAGAATCCATGGCTTCCTCAGGTTTCCAGAATGTAACATCACAAGGATTGGTGTGATCTAACTGAAACATCCAGTCTATTCAGTATTAGTTGGGAAGAAAGTTAAGGCCAAGTGTTTAAGAGCGAGCCCCAGCAAGAAAATCCAAATGCAGATCATGTGAACTTCTAGCCACTGGGCACCAGAAGTAAAGAGATAAACTCACTTTGAACACTGTAAGGGTGAACACTGTAAGTAAAGAAAAGTATCATTCAAATGGCTTCACTTGTGTTTCAGAAATAAGCCGCATGGGCATTTGCCCCATAAATAGTGAGAAGGAGCTTAGTGTGTGCCCTGTCCTTCCCTCCCTGCACCTGCTTTGTGTCCTGCCACTGTATCTAAAATTTGTTCTATTCAAAGCCTATTTTCAGACACCACGTTTGTAAATAAAAGCAGAGTAGAACAACCTAAAGGTCATTGGCAAAGCTGAAACATAACCAGAGTTAAGAACAGCATCCTGCAGAAGTTGACCTCAATAACAAGGGGCTTGACAGCATTCTGAGGTTAAGAATTGGTTTTAATTCAGTCAAAGAAAGAGAGAGAGGGGGAACAAAACACCTTGTCAAGATTTATAATTTGGGTATGGCTCGTTTCTTTTTAGAAAATGTGCCCTTTATTAAG